TTTTTCAGTGCTTGTGAAAAAAATTGTTATACAAATTTTATGTACCCCCTTTAAGGGGCTGTATCTTAACAAGGGATGCTCCAATGAAGTTTCTTTATATGAAAGATCCTATCTTTTTTTCGATGTATACTGTTGAATATTTTTGTATTTTCAAAAATTCATTTTCTCCTCTTTATTCAGATATGAGTTTCTAGTGTCTTGTGATTTTCCATATATCGCAAGGGTGGTGAAGATCGGACTGAAAAGGAACCAATGATGAGGCCGACAGAGATGTGCTCTGTGATTTCTCGAAAGCTTTTGATTGTGTGAATCCCGGAATACTTCTCCGAAAGCTGAAGCGTCAGGGATTCTAAACAAACGGCTTGAAGCGTACCTCTCCAACATAATTCAGATTGTTAAATTCTGAAACGAATACTGTGATGCGGTATTCCTCAGGGTTCACTTCCTGTGACTATCTTTTTTCTTGTTTATCTGAAGGATCTCAGTGTGGTATACATTCAAGGATCCTTTTCCATGTTATCAGCTGTCAAAGTTCGGAAATCCCTGTTTGAAGATACTATAGCTAGCGTTAATGTCAACAACAAATACAACAAATCATATACAAAATTTACATCGGAACCACTAATCGCAGCAGAGCTCGTTCATGAAAACTACTTGATTTTCGTCAGGCGGAACATTCCCCATTGCAGAACATGTCCTAGCAGAAACAGACCATGTATTAAAATACGAAGAAACTGCTATCCGGTGTGATTCAACGCATCATCACAAACGACTGAATAGGGAGGCCATCAAAATTTATAAGCAGCCCAACAATTTCAATAGCCATAAAGGCCAGAAATGGACTAGAATACAACTCTGATCGACATACCACTAGAAACATGTATGTCATCAACGTGGACCAATCAGAACAACCTAGTATCTGTGCCGACCAATCAGAACGACCCAGCTAAAGTGCGGCCCAATCAGAAGTGAGCATTTGTAGGGACACATCGCAATCGCCCCCACCACCGTCCACACCATCTGCACAATCACCCCACCACTCTCTGCAATAATAAATACGAGTGAAAACATAGCTCGCCAGTCAGTCATTGCTGAACTTGGAGACGTAACCTTCATCTGCTCAGTCAACGCACATACCACTGTTGAAGTCAGTCGTAGTAGCAGATGAAAGGTTTGGTGGTTCAGGTTCCATCCAATCAGGATCTACCAGCCCGGATTTTGTTGTTTCTAATCGTGACTACGGCCATGAAAGCCTATATTCACTTTTTTTACTGAAAAGAGAAATTCTGTATTTTTTATTCACTAAATTGAATAAGATCGTTGATGTATTTAAAATTAACTTTTAGAACGTTGACTCTGAAGACCTCGCCAAAAACGTAGAAGAAGATAAATTAGAAAGAAGAGAAAAGAAAAGTGAAGAGCACTTTATACACGAGGCCGAGGTAAAAATGAAGTACATTGGTCATAGAAACTCGAGGTAATGTATCATTTACAAGGTAAATGTATCATATTTTCGTAAATATTATATTGAGATGATAATTGTAATTAAATTTCGAGACAATTCTCTGGTAACTTCAATTCTTTCATCATTCGTATTTTTCATAACCAATACTGGATATTATATCTGGGGTAATATAATTAACAATTTTGTGGGTTATTCTTCTATAATGTCAAAAGAAAAAAGACCTCGGATCACTTTTTCTTGGAGCAAATCAACCGGTTTTACTTTACTCACTTAACTTACTTACTTTAGTCATCTTGATGATACACTAATTCAACAAGTGAATAAAGACGTGATTTGGGTGTTACATTTGTTATGAAATCGACATTTTACTAGAATATCAATAACATTTTATCTTGATCTTCACAAAATGCAACCTGAGTATCTGAGAGATCAATTTGATACACTCTAAGCTTGAAATCATCTTCAACTGATATAGCAGTTCATCTTTTTTTCTTTTAGCTTGTATACAATTCTCCTTATGTATTGCGTCTATTCAAATAAATGTTTTTCATCTTATTTTTAACCATTAGCTGATATATTGCACATTATGCAGGCTTGTATATATGTGGATATATGTGTGTATATAATGTATAATGATGGTAATATGATAATAATATGTGTATGTATAATGAACATATTTCGAATAGGTGCGTATTACATGCCCAAAGTTCAGATGGAAAAACACCTGACATCAGTATTCACCACCGCACGTACAGCACTTTACCTAGCTAGTCGCTAACTAAATTCACTTGGTTTAGTAACATCGTCGAATGACATTACTGGCTGGATGGCGCGTGCGCTTTCATATGAGGCAGCGGGCGGGCCTAGTACTTTCGAGAATGGAGACTAGAAACTTCTCGCATCGCATTGAAGCTTACCGCCATCTATTGTACAGTTTGACAACTATCGGACAGGAAATAGTTACTGTTTAGTCCCCTAGATGGCGTTACACGAGGAAACGCGCGTTAAGCGTAAAGGAGCGGTAAAGTTTGTGTTAGAAGCAAAAATCATTTTCAAATTAGCCATCGCCCCCCCCTTAAACCACTTTGGGAAAGACTTGTATAGGTCATAAAGCACCTCTCCAGAATACGTTTATTATTCTGATTCCCACCCCGGAGTTTGTGTTTGTGGAGTTGTTTCCGGACATTGTCTGCAGATGGCGCAGTGGACATACTACTGAATCAACTGCAGATAGAGTTTATGACTAGTTGGAATTAATGTTGTTTGTTCGGGATACTCAGGCGGTTCACTCCGTCTGAAATGACCTGCCCGGTACTGACGAGAAGCAAGGACTTGGAAACGATTGAATCGGAGGTCGTCCCGACCAAATGAAAAATTGCGACGAATTTTCCGAATGGAAGACGTTACACAGGTGCTTGACGGTTTCACTTTTTCACTTCAGCTTTCTGCGTGGCATTAGCTGGGTTAGTTGTTGTTTTCCCGTCGAATATCTTCCACAGGTACCTAAAAAGTTGTAGGTTCACATGAGAAGCAAGGGGTGAGGTGTTTTTCACCTGAACTTGGGCATATCATGTGTATGTATGTATATACATAAGGTAACTACACACATCGGAAAAGTCTAGGGATATTTTTAAAAATGGCAATCATTTTTTTTAGATCGCTTTAGGGAGAAAAAAGTTGACGGGTGATTTAATCGAAATTAAACGACCTCATGCATTTATTTTTATGATATTTAGTATGTTATAAAAATATCCCTAGACTTTTCCGATGTGTGTATTTCAATGTAAAGTTATTTGTGAGATGTTCTCTGCTACCGTACAAGCTCATGATTAGAAGCACGAATAAATATCTGAATATCTGTCTATCATGTTTACATCAGTCCACGTTTGTTTATTTCAATGAATTATTATTATTATTACATCAAATAATAATTTTTATTGTTTTCTTAGGACGATGATCAAGGAGGCGGCCTTCTGGGGCGACGACTACGTCATGTCCGGCTCGGACTGCGGCCACGTCTTCATCTGGAATCGCGAGACGGCCGCCGTGAAGATGCTGCTTCAGGCCGATAAACACGTCGTGAACTGTCTCCAGCCGCACCCGACGCTTCCTTTACTCGCCACCAGCGGGATCGACCACGACGTCAAGGTGTGGGGTCCCATCCTGGAGGAGCCGTCCTTTGACGAGGTGATGTCTGCCGACGTAAGTAATTTGTCTTTAAGAGGAACTCATTTCCAGGGTACGAATTGAAGTTCGTAATATGTCATGAAATACAAAATTACAGAAAAAAGTACCAAGTACATTTGAAATGATATCAAATAAGCCCAAAAAATTGGTCATCGATCAATATTCTAAACTAGTATTTCTCAAAGTGGGCAATAACGCCCCCTTTTGGGCGCTTTAGGCCTATAGGGGGGGCAGTAAAGGGCACAGAGAAATTGGGGGGCGTTGAAGAGGTTTAGGGGGGCGATGGCTGATTTAAAAATGTTTTTTTGCTTTTAACACAAACTTTACCGCCTCTTTAAGCTTAACGCGCGTTTCCTCATGTAACGCCATCTAGGGGACTAGACAGTAACTATTTCCTGTCCGATAGTTGTCAAACTGTACAATAGATGGCGGTAAGATTCAATGCGAAGCGAGAAGTTTCTAGTCTCCATTCTCGAAAGTACTAGGCCCGCCCGCTGCCTCATATAAAAGCGCGCGCGCCATCCAGCCAGTAATGTCATTCGACGATATTACGAAAATAAGTGAATTTAGTTAGCGACTAGCTAGGTGCAGGTGAATACTGTGAGTGGTGTCAGAAGACAAAATTATGTCGGAAGCGAAAAAGAAGAAACGGCAGTATAGCGCAGAATTTATAAAATATGGATTTACTGAAAATCCCACGAATCCATCTTCGCCTTAGTGCCTTTTTGTCAAGAAACATTTTCGAATGAAGCGATGAAACCCTCAAGGCTACAAGATCATTTTAATAAAATGCATTCAGATAAAAAAGACAAAAGTGTGACTTATTTTCAAGAACTGGAAAAGAAACACTCAGCTCAGCCAATTGTGTCAAAAAAATTTTCAGCAAGACGACGACGGACTCCGAGCTTCCTACAATATCTCCTTGATAATTGCTCAAACAGGTAAACCTCACACTTTTGGAGAGGATTTAATTTTACTGGCAATAAAAGAAGTAATAACTACTGTGCTCCATAAACCAGCAGTAGACGAATTGATGAGATGGCTGAAAACATTGAAGAGTCTTCGTGCAATCATCTGAAGACTTCTGAATTCTCAATTCAGTTAGATAAGTCCACTTTACCAACCAATGAAGCATTGTTGTTGTCATACTTGAGGTTTATTGAAAATGAGAAAATATATCAAGAACTACTATTTGCCAGAAATTTAGAGACGGATACAAAAGGAGAAACCATATAAAATACACTGGAAAAATTTTGTGATGAGAAAGAAATTCCACTGAAGAATATTATATTAGCTGCTACGGATGGCGCTCCGGCTATGACAGGACGTCACAAAGGCAACATTTGGTTGCGAAAAATTTGAGTGAGCGCCTCTCTCAATCACTGCAATATATCATCAAAGCAGTCAATAAAATCCGAAACAGCTCTTTAAATGACAGATTATTTAATCAGCTTTGTGTTGCTAATGATGAAGATTTCAACCGATTGCTATTTCACACAGAAGTGCGTTGGTTATCAAGAGGTCACTGTCTGACTCGATTTTGCAATCTATTTGACTCTGTAATAGAGTTCTTGGAAAACAAAGACAAATAATTGCACGACAACATCATCACTTAAAAGAATGATATTGCGTACTTGACAGACCATTTACATCCATATTGTTACGTTATTCCCCGTGGATTTGACAGTAATTGACCGCCATACAAAAGTCAAACTCAACTTTATTTCACTTTTAATACAACCAAACACTTCAAATATTATTCAAATTTTATCGCAGTGCACCGCAATGTCACTTAAACTTGTCGATATGCTCGTAGGAAGCGTTTATATGCGGCAAACGAACTATCCGGAAACCAGTGGAGAATTCTTCAGAAATCCTTTGTAGCTGGTAGAATTATGCTCGCCACGTCTAGAACGGCTGCGAACATTGAACAAACACGAAACGTTGGCCGGACTGGCGCGCTCTTGACCACGTCACAATTGGTTTATGGCTACCAGTGGCGGGCAGCGTTATTTTCTTAAGTGCATGATTTTCAACAATATCTTGATAAAATGCGCCCCCGCTTCGAGAATTGTCACTCTCAAATTAATCTTCCAGACGATCTAAAGGTATAATAATATAAATTGAAATCTTCAATGTCACAATATTTGTGTTGTGAATCGTATAAAATCTCCTACATTTGTTAGTCAGATAATTTTTTTTGAATTCTTCACGTGCATAACTTTCCGCTTTTCTACATTAGAAGGTATCGGTTCGCTTGAATCTGCCATCATGTAACAATTATACGATAGTAACAAACACACAGTACGACGCCATCTAGGAACTGTTAGCAACACTTAACTGTGCTTCTAGATTTAATTAAGAAAATAAATTTTCATATTTCTATTCGAACTTCTCATGAAATTAGTTCTGAAAACCACGAATTCTTGCAGAAAAAAAAGTTACTCAGACCGTACAGATCTGGTAAGTAAGTTACACGCATGCATATTGTCTGTGCCGTGGTAATTGTCTCATTACGAAGTTTTTGTAACGAAATACATATTTCAAATGAAAATTCTAATCAAACGCCTCTTCCAATGTTCTAACAGTATCTGGGAGATGCCTGCGAAAACTACTTTCCGGGCTATTACCACGACGAGCATTGAATTACATCCGACAGACGTTTGTCAGATACTACTGTGTAGGAAAAGGTGAATGTTTCAATTCTATTTTCTGTACATATGATCTCATACAGTCATCAGACTAATTTCTTTTCGTAACATATCTGTATTGCACTGTAGCCAGAATGGAATTTATTCGCCGGATTCAGAACGTCTCTTTTTTTTCAGTTAATTAATCGCAACGCAATAATGCTGGAAGAAACCAGAGATACGATTACTGTTCCCGCTGCCTTCATGATCAGAATGCTCGCGGCCCTCAACCAGATCAGGAGAGGGGCACGAAACAGACCGCCTCGCAGAAGAGAAGAAGAGGAAGGTTAATGCTTTTTTTTCGCAGATTTCACGCGTTTTGGGTTCTTATTTCCGATACTGTGATATTATTTTGTTGTCGTTATTCAATGAAGTTCTAGATGTCCGTAGACTGAACGGGTCGCCTGTTTGTTGCAAAATGCTGCGGACAGATGGCGCTGCGGGAATGAGCAATGCGGAAAATTTTCAAAGCGATCTTCGACAAACTTTTCATCGTGTTTATGACAGCAGTTTTGAAAGCAACACTGGACCATATCGGATGGAGAAGCACATGTATTTTTCTGAGTTGGATACCCTGTTATTTGTCATTAATGTCAGTTGTCGTGTCAATTGTCCAAGTTCAACTGAATATTATGAAGACTAAAAGTATGATTACAATGTAAAAAACTGTCAGACAGGAAATGAAACTCGAAAACGGACAATACAAACGTCAACTGATATGACAACTGACACTAGTGACGAACACACAGTGTTACCAACTTTGTAAAATTGCATGTGCTCCAAACAAATTTCTCTTGCAAGAGCATCTAGTCTAGTAGTTTGTGTGTGATTTTTATGGATGAAATGCACCGAATGGGGGTCAGTGCCAAAATTTATAAAGAAAAATGATTAATTTTAACACGGATATCTGTTATTGGCCTTTTGTGTCTTTCGTGGCTTGCTGTGGCCGAAATGAAGTTCATACAACCATTGAGAAAGTTTAGCAACTCTTTTGAAAGTCATTTTAAGTTTAGAAATAAACTTTGACATCAATAATAACAAGATTTTTAATGTAAACATTGCAATATTCTCGCTGAAGGTGGTAGACATTGTTACACGACAAGAATCCGAAATGTGTGAACTGCTGTTTGATCCAGAGTATATTGAAATATTTACGGTGTTTGACAAATGGAGAATTCTTATATTCTCTTCATTGTTTGCTTTACTGATGAGTATCGCAGTTTTGTTGATTGTTACAAATTGTTTTTGCACCCAACAATATTTTTGGAAAATATTGTATTTCAGTCTACTATATACAAAAAGTCATATATTTTTTTCAATGTTGTATTGAAATTTTTGAAAATAAAACTTGACTTATATTTTATATACTCTTGATCTAAATTATTTGCAAATTTAAATTTAATTTATTTATTTACTCAGTTTGGGATTGTTTAAAGTATACTGCAGTTCTTCATCATTATTATTATCATTGTTCATTCTAGATGAATTTACTAGTTTTATTTGAATCAAGTTTCCTTGTATCGGCATTTAATGTCCAATTTTGTGTTGATTTTTCATAAAATTACATTCAGTATTTTCTCTTTGGAGCCCCCGAATTGAAATTTGCCAGATTGTTGCGGCATCTGTTAGAAAATAATCGGAAAGTTATTAGGGTTTGTTAATTAATGGATCTTAAGGCTCCAATTGTGATTCTAATACTTTTGTGTTTTTCCGAGGTTCTGAGGCGTTTGATAAATCCTACCTCCGAGAAAGTTGTTGAACCAATTTTTCTGACACTCTCACCTCTAGAGAGTCAACCTTTTTGTTTTGGCAGGCAGTCGAATATTAAATTTTGACCCTGAGAATATTTAAAAGACTGTTAGAAAGTTTTGAAGCAGTGTTTCTTAATCATTAACTCCTAATAATGGTCTGTGTATTTGATAGCTCGTTAAAAAACTTGATACCTCCGTGCCCAACATTTATTTTGATTTTTATTATTTTTGGATTGCCGGAATATCTAGTCGAATTGTCGTGTTGGTCACCATTGATTCTGAAAGTCAGTTTTTAATGCTTATTTTTGAGCAAATGAATGAATTCAAGAAAAACTTTATATTTCCACAAAACAGTTTTACAAAAACGCAAGGCCGGGGTATTAGGGTGGCCCTTCTTAAGATGCCACTTCTCAAAAAGGTTCTTTATTTTCTATTTTATCTAATTCCCCTATTATTACCCGTTTCATGTCCTCTTTGTGTGATACTGGCCTGTTTAGAGTCCTTACCGTTTCTTTCTCAACATTCATCAAAATATTTTCATCGAAGAAGAATAAGGAAACATTTTCCAGATTCAAATACCACAATTGGTTTTTTATTTTAGTGCGTGCTGCTTTAGATAGACTATCGTCTATGTTTTTGTATCCATTCAATTCTTTAAAAAAACTGGATGTCGTGAAACGGGGCATTTTTTGGAGAAGGTGCTGTAACCAGGCATTTATTATAATAATAATATTTATTTCTTTGGTTGAAAAGTACAGTTGACAGAAATCAATGCACCATAAACAAGGAAAATGTCGATTTTAAAAGTAAAAGTAAATGTAAAAACATATAAATGTAAATAACTACATGTAACCATATTATAAAAGTCAGTCCAAATAATAAGTAACCATATTATAAGTCAGTCAAAATATTTTCACATATAGTCAGTGGGTATACTTGAAGACTGGCTATAAATCAAATTATCTAAGAACAATTCGTTCTAATACCGGATATAATCGGATATAATCCAACGCCCTTCGTGGTATTAGCCAGGGGAGCCAGCATAACTTGTAACGAATACCGAGTTTGTTTTACTGATGAATGTAATTAGATCATTAGCAAATAACAAGAGAAAAAAGGGGCCTAAATTCGAACCCTGGGGAACTTCCTGCTTTACATCACAATCATCGCCTGTACATTGACCAATTATCACTTTTTGCCTCCTACCTATAAGATAAGATCTCACCAAATCATGTGATACCCCTCTTACACCTGATCAATAAAGCTTAGATAGTAACAGTTCATGGTCCACACAATCAAAAGCGCGTAAGAAATCTATAAAAAGGCCCATGACACATTTTTTTCTTGTCAAGAGCGTTAAAAATTCTCGACTGAAATTTACATAGGGCTGACTCTGACTTTTAGAGTGTTCAGAAATAAATGTATTGAGAATTTAAAATGACCGACTAAAATTGAATGACTTCCCGTCACTGAATATTCTTTCAAATGTGGAAACTGGTAATTAACTGATACATAAGTTAATGTGTGTGATTTATGACTTGTTTACTTTATGGTAATTAATGATCACTCAAATGAATTGAATAAAAACACTTTAGACAAAGGAATTCTTTGGACAAGCACTCATATGAAAGTGGGCAAACCGTAGACACGTGTTTCTGGCTATTTAGCCTTCGTCAGTACGGTACAGCCAAGTGTACAACACTTGGTTGCGAAAAAAAGGGTTGAAAACAAAACAAGCAATGTTTAATTACCCGTCCGTAAATTTGGCCATATTCGTTGAAGAATGTTTTGAAAAATTAACCGGGAAAATATTTTCGTTTTGAGTGTAGCGATCTCAAATTGGTCGCAGAAATTTATATTCCCTGTATAATCCACGAGTTTTTTAAAATTTTCGTTTGGGAAAACATTCTTCTTAAACGCTGGTTAATAAAGAATGTTTTCCCAAACGGGAAATAAAGATAAAAAAAAAATACATCTTGGATACACAGGGCATACAAAGTTCTTCGACCAACTTGAGATCGCTACACTCAATACGAAAATATTTATCCGGATAATTCTGGCATGAATGTTCTCAACCATATTGTTTTGCACCTGAAAACAACGTACTTGATGAAATTGTAATTGATACAAATGGGTGAATTTGACCCTGACACATTGACAAATCACTTGGTTTTCAATTGAAGGAAATGATGAACACGAAAGAATCTTATATCCACATGAAATATAAACTACTCAAAATGAATATGTATTATTTTGTCAATCATTCATATTTATAAAATAGTTTATAGGTGCCTTTATTATATTTAACTTACATTGTTTTCAAAATGCTGTTTGGTAATACGATTAAAAAGAAATACAAATGAGTGTCAGAAACAAAGAAAATTTATTTCAGATAAAAAATAAGAAAAATGTACATTAATAGTGAGTACGTCCACCCCTGGCTCTAAGAAGTTTGGCACAACGACGAGGCATGCTTTCCACCAAATTTCTAATTATTTGTTGGGGTAACTGCTCGTAAATCGTCAAAAAAGCATCTGCAACTTGGTTCAGATTTTGGAAGGGTTGATCCTTCAAACGACTTTCCAGTTCATCCCAGAGCTGCTCAATATGATTTAAATCCGGACTATTAGCTGGCCATCTCATGACATTAATATTGTGCTCCTGTAGGAAATTTCTCACAACCCGGGCTACGTGTGGCGTGGCATTATCGTGTTATAAAATGAACCCAGCGCCCATATTTTAGGCAAATGGGACGATATGAGGTTCCAATATCTCCTCTATGTAACGGACAGCCAGTAAAGTCCCTTCCCGAAACACCACAAGGTCCGTGTGTTCTGCCAAAGTTATACCAGCCCATACCATTATCGATCCACCTCCAAATGGAACAATTTCTTGCACGGTCATCCAAATAGCGTTCACCGGGACGTCTACATACGCGAACACGTCCGTCATTGTTGAATAAAATGAATTTTTTTTCATCTGTAAACATTACATTGGCCCACTGCTCTAAATTCCAACTACAGTGCTCTTGACAAAAGTTTCTACCATTTCCTCGATGAGCTGGAGTTAATCTAGGGGCTCTAGCAGGTCGTCTTGCATGGAGTTGTACTTCTTGAAGTCAGTTTCGTATCGATTGGGTCGAAATTCGCGTTCCCGTAGCTTTTGCAGTTTTGTAGCAGAATCGGTGCGACCCCTAATTGCCCAAAGTCGTAACAAACTATCTTCTCTGCGGGTTGTTGCCCTTTGTCGATTGAGATAAGGGGCTCTGTTTACTATGCCGTAAATTTGGTAGCGATTCCAAGCTCTGGAATCCGCAGAATGACTCACATTGAGCATTTGGGCTACATGACGCCTTGAATATCCTACTTCGATCAATGCCACTGCTCTAGCAACTTGAAATTCGTTGAGGGACACCCTACGTATCCTCTGTCTACCCAATACATCAACATTCATTGTTTAAATTTTAAAATTAAATACCTATCACGAACGAAAGTAAACTGAAACTAAATACAGAATTATTTATATTACTGATTTTGTAGCTAAAAGTAAAAAAAGAAGTGAACAAAGGAAAAAAGTAAACAACAACCGAATGGAACGAGATAAGAATTAGTATGGAGTGCACACCAGAAGTTTTTATCATAAAATAATACATATGTTTTTAATTATTGGATTTTAAGGATGTGTCTCTATATTCAATTTGAGTAGTTTATTTTCAGAATAGAATAATTCTTGGGAAAGAAAGGTTTTGGCTTTCTACTTACTACTCCATCTTTATACAAAAAATGTGAGAATTTTCCAAAGAAAGGAAGAAAGCAAGTAATTCCAAAATAACGTCCTAACAAAGATGCATAGATTATGCAAAGAAATAAGTGTCTTTCAGGCACAAACTGGAAGAAAACTTTCATATGAACATTGAATTGTACAAAAACGACTTTTTCCTAGTTAGTTCATACATTCGTTTTGGAATTGAATCAGATATCATTCACAGGATTCCTACACAATATACTGGGAACACTGTCATCCTCAATGACGGACATCGATGTTTCGGAATGAAACATTTGTCTTAATGCCACTTTGTTTGTATGAAGATAGAGGAGTACACAGCCAAAACCCTTCTTTCCTAAAAATTAATAAGATATTGAACATTTTTAGTTCCTTGGGGCGTTGCAAAGCATGACGTCATTTAATTAAACTGCAAGTATTCAGAAGCACTTTTATCTTTTGGAAAGTTGAAGAGATATCTCTGTCTCCAATTATAGGCAATTGATTCTTGAGAAATGTTGGTTTTATAACGTGTATTCTCTTGCTCATTCCGATAAATAAAGCTATAAGAATTATTAATGTTTTTTTTTCTACCTAACAAGTCTTTGCAGCATTGTTTAAAGTCGAATATGAATCCTCAATTTCGGAAAAAAGAAAGTAGACAACTGAAACTCACTTTAACATGCCAGAACAAAAATAATGTTTCTCGACACGCGTTTTGCCAACTAAGTCAGCATCATCAGGAGGTGACTGAGAAACCCGCGTCAAAAGACATTTATTTTTTTGTTCTAGCGTGGAAAAAGGTTTCAAATTCTATTTATCAATATTGCCCAACTGATGGTGAGACATGTTATTGAAAATTATGGATCAAGATGCTTAGAAATATCGTGGTGTAATCACTTCAACTTCTATGTAAAATATTTTGACGAAAACACTTGATCTACGGCACTCTCGATTTTTCTTGAATTCAACAGATACAACGACGGAATTCAAAAACCAAGGAAATGTGCAAAGTGAGCGAATGAGCGCCTGCAAGTGAAGTCCGAAGTGTGGTAAGAGGATTCGGCGCCGCTCAACAAGTAACACTACTCGAAGGCAGATCCGTACTCAAATTAAGTTTGAACACAAATATAAAATCGTATGAATAGTAATGGATTAAATGTTGATAAAAATCATATCAAAATAATAACACCTTTATTAGATGGACTCATAAGTTAATAGGATAATACACAGATGGCGCTACTAGCATTAAATCCATGTGATTGTCCCTCTGCAAGGTTGGCAGAATATCTGTTAGCTAAAGCTAAACTGCTAGCGTTTCATATCTAGTTAACACAATCCAAATTTTATAACCACTGTGTCAGTAACCCAGATACAGAATCCACATAAAAATAAGCAGTTGGCAACTTACAAACAAAAGGAAGTTTTCGCAGTGTAACAAATTTCATTCCGTCCCAGTCTATGTGATCTCGTAGAAACGTCTCATCCAGAATGAGACTAACTAACAGCTTGTGTCCTGTTTTTCACTTACTTTTTTAATGTAACTAGTGCCGTAGACTTGAACCCTGGTTCAGAATTGTAGTTCTGGTACCATTTCTGCAGAGTTTGGGGGTGCGAAATAAAAATGTAGTGTATGAGTAAAAGTACTTAAAAATGGCAACTATTGTTTTTGATTCGTCATTTTTTGGCCTTACGAATGTATCTCCTCATTAGATCTTGATCTGTCATGTTTCAAGTTATTTCATCTAGAGTAAAATACTCTGCGTCATCTAAAAAGTTCTATTTTTCAATGGCTAAAAACATTTCTTGAAGAGAACTAATTTTTTTGCTCTGCCTGCGATTTTTTTGCCAAAGCCGTTTAAGATTTCTTCGCTGTCTGTCTAAAACACTATCCAGTCTTAAAATTTCCAATTTCAGTTTTTTCGTTTCTGGCGAATCACTATCAGACAATCTTCTCATGTCATCATGAGTCGTTACTATTGTTGAGCTTTCCTCATTTGAAGTAGATATGAATGATTGGACACTGCATTGTGGTTCTTCTTCTGGCTCTTCCTTTATATGCGGCACAACCATGGACTCATTTTGTGTTAATGCCAAAGTTGAAGGAGCACTCTATAATTGAAAACAATTACTGAAACATTTTTTTCTATTTCAAATAATTCGGCCATATTCGAAAACTTAATCTTACCTCAACTTTAAGAAGTAATTTGGTTGGTATAGAGCCTTCAATCACTTTATGCTGACCTTTTGGAGTAGTATATAGACAGGACTCTTCAAAATGAACAGAGCAGATGACAGCATCTTTAGGAGGAGCCCAATCAAGTCTTCTTGTGGCTTCAACCCACATATTCCTCAACTTAATATTTTTTGGAAACCTTGAAAAAGCAAAGATTTAAAGCTTGAGTTCTTTGTTGTTGTATCTTAAATATTGGAAACAAATATCAAATACATAAATCTATTGCGAAAAAACATGAAATATCGTTGAAATCCTACTTTCATGTGGAATTTATTTTTTGGAAAATAATAGTATTCCAGAGGATATTTTGTTCATTCTAATACTGAATTTATTTTTATGGAAATTTATTTGCGCTTTCGTGAGTTATTTAGCAAAATTAATTGCATAAAATAATAAAACAATTTATAACTTCGAGCGAGTACGGTCCATACAATTCAGTAACTTTTCATAGCCTCCAAAGTAAACATAGGAATATTTTATTAAGTTACCTGTGAAATGTCACACTAGATAAAGCTTTATTTTTGTTTGCACTATTATTGAAACACACCAAAACAGAGCACTGAACCATTTTGATCTCGAAGACTGAACGTTAAAATAAATATCTTTTCATAAAAAGTGTTTACCACACTTCAGTCGTCACTCGGTTATTTGAGTGCGTATTCCTTTTCTTTCTACTTCGATGGATCCAATCTACTTCGGCATTTCATTCACAGAGGCGCTGAGCACACAAAAACGTTTACATCTGGAAACGATTTCAGTGCCATCTATTACCTTATGTACAAAGTTGGATCAATTTCATTTTCTGCTCGCCAAGGTTGCTACGCAACTGTGTTTACAAAATACAACTGTGCGTTTCGGCTACTGTCAGGAAGATGAAGCAGCATGTAACATGAGGCGTAAAGACAATATTTCGGCTACTATTTACGAGATGACGGACTTTATAAAAGGTGGGAACAAATAACAAAGTTTTTTTTATGTAAGGGCCAACTTTTGAAGTCATGTTGGCAGCCTCAAAAAGGTATTTCAAATAGGATCAAGACGTATGCTGTGTCTAGCGACAAACATCTAACTTGAGCATATTAATCACAGAATGATAAGTAAAAAAGGAAAGGCTGAAAAAAGTACAAAAAATATATATTTATGTATAAAAAAATTGATAATTGTGTAGTATGTACAAATGTACATGTTCAAATTAATTTTCCATTAAAAAATGTTTAGCTATAAATAATCTCCATTATTTCCTAAAACTACAGAATTTTCTACAAATATGGTATTTAACCTATCGTGTCTTTTTAACAATAATGTACAAAAAGTGAATTGATAATAAATATTTGGAATTGGACTAGAATAATATAGAACGGCGAAATTTACAGAAAAAAATACGTTCCCGAACTCACACAAGAGTTCGGGAACGTTCGTTTTAACGGCTCACACTCGTTTTCAGGAAAGTTTTACTATGTATTTTCGTTCAGTGACCACGTATCTGAAGTCAACTTGGAAAAAACTTATATATCTTTTCGATAACCTCATAAATTTGAAATCTGATTCATTTCAAGTGTAATTTTATTAAACTTCCAACAGTATCGATAAACATCCCTCATACAAACGTCATTTAGTTTCATAAACAATTTTTTGGAGGTTGGTGGAAATGATACAACTCTCAGAAAATTAAACGTTCTGTGGCAATATCATGAAAAGGCAAAATAAAGAAATGTGAATGATGTTGCCACATTTCCATAATTGTATGCATACGAATTACAAAATCACAAAAGAATAAATACAAACTGTCGATTCAGACTCTATTTGAATGAATCATAAGTTTAACCACGGCGCAATAATTTTTAGTTCAATTTTGCAACACTGCCGACAGAACCCACGAAAAAGTCCCGTGTAACAGTTTTATTTAGTTTTAATGATTCAGTTTGCCGGAAAAGATATCATTTTGAGGAAGTTGAACGTATTGTATTTAAAAAAATAATAATGAGTATGAAAGTGACAAGTGAATGAAGGTACGCCGATCGTGAAAATAAGGTGTGATAAAATACCTTGCTGGTTTATATTAAAGACAAATTGAAATGAGATCAACACACTGATACAGTCAAAATTAGACATGATACAGGCAAATACATTTCTGTCAATTGATTTTTAGTGTTCTGTTGAATTTTTATGTTCTGTAATGAAATCGTACGAATTATATTCCACAGTTTTCAATTCCAAGAGTTTCGCGTTTCGATATTTGACTCGCAAACAAAGATACACAAGCCCATATTTTTTTTCAAAACTAGGCGAGCCGTTAAACGAATCATCTCATCCACAGTCACGGAACATCTCGAAGAGTCTGGAAAGCGCCCGGAACCGTCGTCCGGACACTCCCGACACCGTGTACTATCTGTCCGGCGTGCCTGCGTCGCCCCTCTCGAGCAACTCCCGAAGCGCAGAGATGTACGTTTGCGCCATCTGCAGAGTCTCGAACTTGCTCAGCTTCTGATCCGCGTCTAAGCTGGGAATCACCTCTCGAAGTCTGTCGAACGCCTCGTTGAGGCCGTTCATCCTCCTCCTCTCTCTGGCGTTCGCCGCTAGACGGCGCTTCTTCATCACGCTCGGCGACGTCGGTCGGTCTCTCACCACCGTTTTTCGACGACCTGGAAACGATAACCATGTACAAAATAGTCGCATCAACTGTGACAGCTGTGACAAATCATAACGAAATCACGAAATTTTAGCATTTAATACTTTTTAATAGTAGAAATCAGGCTATAGTTTACGACATACCGAAAAACAAAAAACAAAAAGCCTTCTACGCTTACTTAAAATATAAACTACAAGAATTTACATACCCCTCGAGCTCTTCCTGTCTTGATTGAGGATCACTGTGTTTTTTCCGCCCCCGTCGCTGTTGAAATGGCCCCTCTTCAGCTTGAAAAAGTTGAAGTTTCCGTAGGAGCACTTCTCTGCCTCCGACAAAGAGCTGATATCGTTGATGTCGCTCGTCGTGGAAATAAAACTGTCGAAAGTGTTGACGTCGTACGTTTCGGGACTCTTCACGACGTCTCTAGTAGCGAAAACCTGCTCGCTTCTGTAGGGGTGCATCTGGGGAAAGTAGCCAACATCGTCGAAGCTACCGTTAGGGGAGGTAGAGTAGTGGTTGTCGGGGGGTTGGTAGCGGCCGTAGAAGGATTTCATTATGTCCATTTTCGATTCGAGAAAGAAGAAAAGTCCTGGTGGTCTGGTTGCGAATGTCTGTGGAAAAAAGTTATTATTCTGCTGGGTTTACGATTTAGCACTGAAGTAAACAAAATGGGAATGAAATCGAAAAGAATACACGACGTCTTGATGTTTGTTCTCATGATATTGCTGAATGAGACATTTTTTGATGAGAAATGTGAATTTATTGATACAATATTGAGGCCTTTTTGCACAAAAGACAACTATCAACTAATATCAAAACTTCAAGAGTTATTAAGTCAACAAGCACCAATCCACTAATCTTTTATTACTATTGTTATACCTTTTATTCCAAATTACATGAAAAGATAAATCGAGTGTGAAATATGTGTATAAATAGATATCAGGTTTAAACTTAATTCAAACCAAAAACTACTTCAAGGCATATCTGCTGACAATTCAAACAACACATAACATTGGAGACTACTTTATGGTCCAGTCGAAATTAGATAAGTAATAAGTGATTTTTTGCTGGTATCTTTTTGGCAACACTGTTTTTGACAGATCACGCGTGAATCGTGTCTTGTGTCATTGTCAAATTTGTTCAGTTTGTTCTATAATTTAACCATGAATCGACTAACGAATGAACAACGCTTGCAAATTATTGAATTTCATTATCAAAATTCATGCTCGGTGGAGAAAGTGTATCGTGCACTTCTTCCAAACCCAGTTTACATTATTGGACATTAAACCACCAACACGCATACGTAGAGTGAGGAACGAAGAAAACATTGCGGCTGTAACCGCCAATGTTCGTGATGACCGTGAAATGTCGATTCGCCGCCGTTCGCAGCAATTGGGCCTCTGTTACTCCACTACCTGTGAAATTTTGCGAAAGGATTTGGGTGTGAAACCTTATAAGATACAGCTGGTGCAAGAATTGAAGCCACACGACCTCCCACAACGTTTAACATTTGGTGAATGGGCGCTGGCAAAGTTGGAGGAAGATCCACATTTTTATCGAAAAATTGTGTTCAGCGACGAGGCTCATTTCTGGTTGAATGGATACGTTAACAAGCAAAATTGCTGCATTTGGAGTGAAGACCAGCCACAAGCATTGCAAGAGCTACCGATGCACCCCGAACTGTTTGGTGTGGATTATGGGTCGGTGGCATCATCGGGCCGTACTTCTTCAAAGACGACCATGGCCGGAATGTTACTTTTTGTTTATCATATCTCATGTTTGGGGCCCAACAATTGGCCGCCTAGATCGTGTGATTTAATGCCTTTGGATTATTTCTTGTGGGGTCATGTTGAGGCTCATGTCTACAGGGATAAACCAGCAACGACTGACGCTCTAGAAGGCAATATTGAAGCATTCATACGTGAAATACCGGTCGATATGTTAGAGAGAGTGTGCCAAAATCGGACCTTGCGCATCGGATCTAAAGCGGAGCCGCAGACAACATTTGCATGAAATCATCTTCAAACATTAAATTATATTGATCGTTCTATTGATTCCAATAAAGATTTAATCATTTTTTTCAAATTTTTTATGTTGTTTTGAAAATCAAATCCTGTACCTCTTAAAAAATCACCCGTTATCTCGGAATTTGAGATACTCAGCTATAATATATAGTGAGGTAAAACTACATAAAAAAGGTCAATTATTACGAATTCTTTTATCCATAAGATTTTATAAATGCTAGGATTGATCGTTTTTCATTTATTTGGCAGACTTGATTGCAACAAAATTAATTTTTCAATAACTTCTAGTGGTCATCATTGAATTCATTTTCGATAATTTATTAAACACGCACTACGGAATAAACAACGAATGACAAAAACCTTTTCGAAAAGAATACCGACAAACAAGAGACAAATGATGCTTCAACCGAGTTAGGTCGGCAAAAATCATCACTGGTAGGTATCTTTGTCACTTTTCGGATAGTTTACACGCAAAAATGATTGTACGGCGCCATCGGAATATTCTACTCAAAGAAATAATTACCCACTTATTTCTCTGCCGCATTCGTTACTGTCATATTATCGGCACACTACTATTTGCAAGTTTTTCTAAAATAAGTTTGTAAATATTCGTTTCTAGCTGAATAACTGAGGAGCCAAAATGATGATGAGAACGAAATGGTTTCTTTGGAAAAACATTATGTTACTGCTTTTGGACGTGCCAGTTTGTTCTGTGACAACAAACATTTCAATAACTAAATAACTACGTTCAATTTATTTTTTTAAGTCATTAAAATATTCAACTGCGTACATGATGAACACTTTTCTTGATATTTCAAAGTAATTCCATGTTTGGAACGAAAATTAAAAACTGTCGAGAGAACATCAATAAAAAACTTTCACTATGTGTCAGAAAATTACTTCTTTGCATGATCTAGCTTCCTTCCTTCCTTTGGAAGATTCCCAAATTTGTCTCAAATATTTTTTTTCAAGTCTTTATTATCAATACATTATAACTGCAAAGTTATTTAAATCCATGAAATATTATATAAGCA